GACAGTCAAACGCTTCACAAAAAAATAAAAGATCTAGCTGGAATGACAAAACAAAGACTCCCTTGTAGATTAACAAACGACGAGAATGAAACGATATGGGAATTAAGCGATCTAAACAACGTATGGGGACATTACATAGAAGAACTATTCTCGGACACACCACTAAACAACATAATATATAAAAACCATGAAACCAGTCCTCCTATATTAAAACAAGAAGTAGAGAGAGCAATCAAAAACGCAAAAAATGGGAAAGCCCCTGGCCCCGATGACATACATACGGAAGTCATAAAGCTACTGGAAGAGAAACATTTAAATATAATCGTCAAATTATTTAATCAAATATATACAAGCGGTGAAATTCCACAAGACTGGTTAAAATCAGTCTTTATTCCCCTTCCAAAAACTAAGGGAGCAAAGAAGTGTGGTGATTTCAGACTTATTAGTTTAATGTCGCATATGTTAAAGTTATTCTTGAAAGTTATTCACCAACGCATTTATAAGAAATGTGAACAGGATATCAGTGATGAACAATTTGGCTTCCGAAATGGATTTGGGACACGGGAAGCATTAACCAGTTTTATTATACTGCTGCAAAAATGTCGAGACCAAAAAAAGGATCTCTTTTTATGTTTTATTGACTATCAAAAGGCCTTCGACAAAGTAAAACATGATAAGCTGATGGATTGCCTTCACAAAAAGGGACTAGACGAGAACGATTTTAAAATTATCCAAACGCTGTATTTTAACCAAACTGCAGCAGTTAGAACAGAAGCCGGTGACACAGAAATATTCAATATCAAGCGAGGTGTACGACAGGGGTGTGTATTGTCACCACTACTTTTCAATATATATTCGGAAGAAATCTTTGCACGAGCACTAGAGCAATCAAGAGAAGGTGTTAAAATTAACGGCAGAGTTCTAAATAATGTACGATACGCCGACGACACGGTCCTAATTGCAGAGAGCGCACAGGATCTCCAGACACTCTTAGATCGCGTCAGATCGATCGGAGAACAATACGGCCTCAGCATTAACGTCAAGAAAACAAAAACAATGATTGTCTCCAAAACATCCATCCATCCACCCATGGCTTTAAACGTGAATGGTAACATTATCGAAAATGTCGAGAAATTTCGATATCTAGGGTGCTGGATAACGAAAGATATAGATCCAGACATAGAAATAAAATCGCGAATTGAACAAGCAAGAAATGTCTTTTTAAAAATGAAACAAATGTTTACGTCCCAAACACTCAATCTCAAAATCCGATACCGAATGCTGAAATGTTACGTTTACAGCACCTTACTATATGGAATGGAGGCCTGGACCTTCAAAATCAACTCACTTAGGCGTTTGGAAAGTTTTGAAATGTGGTTATTTCGAAGGATGCTGAAAGTCATAGGACAGCGCATATGAGCAACGAGCAGGTCCTACACAAGATGGGTACCGACAGAGAACTCTTAAAAATAATGAAAACACGGAAAACCTCATATTTGGGACACATATACAGAAATGAGAAATACCAGCTACTGCAGCTTCTTATAGAGGGGAAGGTAGAAGGAAAACGTGGTCCTGGTAGACGGCAGGCGTCCTGGTTGAAGAACATTCGTGAGTGGACTGGTTTGGATTCTCAATCTTTAATAAGAAAAGCCAGGGACAGAAATGATTTTGCTGAGGTTATCGCCAACCTTCATTGAAGACGGCACCCAAAGAAGAAGAAGAATATGAATAACTAAATAATAAATATGTAATGTTTTCTCTCTAAACCAGTAATTGTAGAATTATTTCCTTTAAAAAGATTTTTACCCTTTAATATTTTTTAGGAAAAAAATCCTTCCTTTCTATTCAGCACGAGGATTCTTTTAAACGACGTCCATTTCAAATAATTTAAGAACCTTCTTGTATGTGTTGCCCAGGAAATCTATGTAAGTATTTTTTTTTACTTCTTCCTTTGTAGTTGCCCCTATCCAGTCCCTCTTTTATTCACTTACTTACGACTCAGCTCTCCAACCAAACCAAGAGTGGCCATTCGCAAGCGTTTCAGTTTGTTTGCTTACCCTATCTCCAGCTCAGTTAATTGTCCACACTTTCAACCCCCTATAAGTGATACCCAATGTGGTAGATAAATTATACTGTTTCCATATATGGTATGTACCTATACTAAATATACTTATCTATATAGTGAATTTTACAATTTTTAACTTAATTTTGACATTTACATAGGTCCTTCCATTTAGTCTTTCTTTTTGTATGACGAGCATCCTATCTCTGTTTTTTTTAATAGGTTGCTCATTCTCTTTGGGAATGAAATATTTAAAACAGTGGCGCCCATTTTTGTGAACAATTGTTCTTTTCTATTTTTTTTGTATATCTTTCTCGTCCCCTTAACAACTCAGCTCATTATCTACCACAACTGAGCAACGGTGCCTTCGAGTCACATAGTGTACAAGTGTTCTGAGCCTACTTACTAGTAGTTTGGTTCACTGTGTATGAAACACACATTTGGCACAATGTGTGTTTGAATGATATAGGAGTCTTAAGTCAAAATTTACGTTGCACTCGTTAAACTAACTAAATCAATTAAAGTTGAAGCAGCGATAAGCGCATCTGATAAATTAATGAGACGATATTTTGGAAAGTTGAAAATCTTATCAACCACGAATCGACAAAAAGCATTTATTGAAGAATTATTATTAGAGCAGTCATTGAAGCGAAAAATACGGTCTTATCTCCGAATTTTTTTTACTGTGAACCGATTTGAACTCCGCCTATTATTTTTAAGGGGTGTGAACAGCCCCTTAATGGAAAAATTGACATTGAGCCATTTTATTGCTAGAAAACATGTCTAATAGTAAGTGGTGAAATTGTAAAGTGTTGTCTAACACAATTACCTCATATTAAAATCATTTTCAACCCCTTGAAAAACTTACAACCCTTGCAAACAACCCCTAAATTGAAAAAAATCACAAAAAAATAATTTGGTATGACATAAAAACATGTAAGTATAGAGTAAGTAATATTTTATATTCTCTATAATATTTATCAAATTTTTAACCCCCTTTCAACCCTTGAAAACTACCCCTTGATAAAAAATTGTTAAATTTTTTTTTGATAAATTGAAAAGGATTTAAATATTATTCCACACTCTCGAAAATGATTATCATATTCTTATGCTTTTCTACCCTTAAAACTGCCGCTAAATTAAAACAGTAAATATATGATTACATATTGAAAAATAATTTAATTTAGAATAAAAAATTGCCATTTATTGAATAAAATATTTACAAATTATGTACTATTATTATTAAAATATAATATTATTATTCATGACTCAATGTCGGAGTCGCTGTCACATTCAACATCTTCTAGCTGAATTGGAGGGCTATTTTGGCAGTTATCTCCACTGCACGTTCCACGGGTACTATTACAAAACAGACTCTTCTTGCAGAACTTCTGCATTTGCAAGACGCTCCACATCCTTTTTTGCAGTTGCAAAAAATCATTTTCAGGAGTTCTTGTGGTGCGGGTGGATCTACAGACTTAAGTGGATTTAATAAGCCGTCATTCATGACCACCTCCAATAAGTTGGATGAATGTTTTTATTGCCAAGCCAAATCTGGGTTTGAAGATAAAACCCTCTTAGTATGTTCATTTATGGTTGGTTGGTTGGAACCAACAACGGTTGGTATGTATTCATGCCTACGTTTCCAAATATATGAGCCATATTATGTATATATATATATATATTATATATATATATATATATATATATACACATTTACAATAGTTTTGGGTCTCTATTATACTGCGTACTTTCACATTGCTCCAAATATTCACACTCCGAAATTTTCGGTTACTAAGTAGAAAAAATATAAGTTTTTGGACCATAATTCCTTCAATTTTCATGCTATCACAATTTATAAAAAAACCATTGTAAAGGTAGTTAAGAACAACATCCTTTATTGCAATATATAGTAAAAAACCTTTTTCTAAAACGGAGAATGGTTAAAGGGCTTCAGAGAGGCTGTGATTGCGCTGCCACGCGCTTTTTTAACAATCATATCTCCGTCAATTTTTGTTTGACAGAAAAAACAAAAAACCAAATTGTTTGTCAGAAAAATACCTAATAATTTTTTATCCGTACACTTGTATACGAATCTGTCGTCATTTTTGAGATATTATGAAAAAAAAGATGTTTTTTTTTAATTTGAATTTTTTTTTAATCGTGACTTTTTTGAAAAATATGTGTCCTGAAGCAGCCAAACTGATACAATCTATCAAACTCTTCTAATAAAGTTAATTCTAGGCGCAATACAATTAATTTTAATTTTGGTGAATGGCATAATGAAACCATTGATTTAAAAGAAAAAACATTAGATGCTCCTCTTATTTGCAATACAGCTCACTTATTTTACGTGCAAAAGACTTTTAATAGTGCTCATTTTAAAGCTTATTTCAAGCACTACAAAACCTTGTTTATTAGAATGCCTAAAATGCATCTTATCGCCGCAAGATGGCATTGGCCACATCGATTAAATTTCAGACAAAATAAAAAACGGCTTTGATGTTTAATATCTAGCTTAATATTGCACTTAGAATACTTTATAAAAATCCAAATTGTTCATTTTTTTACCTGCTACAATTTTGTTTTTCCAAAACCAATTTTCAATTGCCAATAACTTAAAAAGTATTGGATTTTTCGAAAAACTTTACAGATGATTTTTTGCTTAAAATTAGGCCTTCTATCGACATCCAAGGTTATTTTGAAAAAAAAAAATTCACCCCGAGAAGGGGTGGCAACCACCCTCAGGGTGGTTGCGGAGTTCAAATCATTTTCACTTTTGAAGTTAAGGGTAAGATGAACCTAATTCGAAAATTGTATGCAGTTCGGTTCACAGTAAAAAAATTAGGAGCAATAATGCTTCAATGACTGCACTATAAATTAAATACTTATACTTACATAATTTGTGTCATTTTTACGTGAGATAATGGCAAACCACACAATATATATCTATCACAGTCTTCTTTTAGAGGTTTGGCTTTGGATAAATCTTTTACGTAACTTTTAACGCTATTTGGTGAATTTCTGTCCATATTTAACATGAATATTCCACCTTCAGTCTTGACTAAGTTACCAGTCTCGTTGTAAAATACTCTTTGAGCATGCTAAAAAAATGAGTACTAACACCTGATTGAATACATAGTTTTTATCGAAGTTCTCATTTTATCAGGTAAACGAATTGCTACTTAAGTATCAATATGAATATACACTTACTGTCATCCAAAATCGCTGTGGACTAGGATTCGACCAGTCTCCGCTATATGGAAAACCCCAAGGAGTAAAAACAATTACTAAGGATGCCAAAAATACTAACCATAAACATATGAAGTAATATTTCCCTTGTCTTAGAACATTAGAAAGTGCAACCTAAAAAAGAACATTAAAAACTGCTAATTATTTGAAAACATCTTTAATATGAGGGTTAACTTTATAAAACGAGGGGTTTAAATAAAACAGTTGAAGTTGTGGAGTAAAAATGCTGGTTTTATTGACAGCTACTACTAATTACACTATATGATATTGGTTAGGTAACTACTTATAATCAACTGCTCTCACATGATCTCAAAATCCCCAATTTTTAATCTCACAAATTATTTATACCTCAGCACAGAGGTTATTGCTTCTATCATACTAACAAACTTTGAACTATGAGCTTACAATACAATTTAATCTAGGCCGTAATTGCAAATTATTAAAATATTACTCGATATAGTTTTAAAATGTCTCAATTATACATGGTGAAACTATAAAAGATTAAGAAGTTAAGAATAAAGTGAGATTACACATTAAGGATTAATTTGTGATTGAACAAGGGTTGTTCTTAGATTATGCACTTTTTACGCCTTAGCAACCACTTAAGGGGTAATGAATCATTCTACCTTGTACCATTTTATTGGCTTTATTGACACATAATTTATAATCAAATAAAATTCAAAATTGTGAAGTGAAGGGATATCTGTGCACGTAAGTGTATTAACACAATTTTTTTTTAATTTACGATTTTGTTTTGTAGAATGGTTCTCTTATAAATATACTGTCATACTTACATAGGAACTTGTTGTCAATAATGTACCCAAAACTGTCATGGATCCTATAATTAGGTCTGCATTTTTATCAGATCCAATACGACCAGTTAAAGGAATAAACATGTAATACGTTGCGAATAATTCATACATGATGTAACATGTAGGAATGATTAGACAAATCAAGTAAATGATTTGCCAGATTCTCACTAAAAACAAGATTTTTTTAGACATAATAAAAATTAGTTTGTTTTGTTTTCTAAAAATAAATGGAAATCGGCAATAATTTAAAGACTGTAAGTAAGTAAACATATCCAATGTACCTTTTTCTAATATGCGATTTTTCCAAAGAGATATTTTCTTTTGAAACCTTGATAATTTGTCAATACAAGAGAAAATATATTTAGATTTTCCTTGGACACTCCTGTTAATATTATTAAGGTATTTAAAAATGTCAGTCAAATATCCTAATTTGGCCAGCCAAATATTATTTTTTAAATATATTGCAAATTAATCTGTTGATGCACCTTATCCTTGAAAAAAATGCTAACAATTCGCATTTACGCTCTAAAACTCGATTCAAGACTTTTCCTCTGCTTAACCACCCAACTTCAGTATGCAAAGGCAAAACTTCGTGTTGTGCTTCCATTGCAGAACAAAGCTGTTCAAAAAGGCGTGTTTTTAATGGCCTTGATTTTATGTAATTGACCATTCCCACTACTTGATCTAACACAGGTTTTAAAGCATTTAGCAACGTTTTGCATACTAGTAATTCTCTGTGCAAGAAACAATGCGTAATTATTATGTTTGGGTTTCTCGTTTTCGCAAGTGTAGCAAATCCCTTAATAGAGCCTAACATTGATGGTACCCCATCTGTACAAATACCCACGCACATATTCCATGATATATGCACTTAAAAATATTTTGACCCGTTGTATGTTCAGTAAGTTCCTTACAACATAAAAACTGATTTACTATTTTGTTTTCAGAAATAAAACGAATGAATCCTATTAAGTAGGCTTGGCCACTAAAGTCAGTGAATTCGTCAACTTGCAATGTAAAATTTTCTCGTGTCATAATACCAAAAACTGTATTTTCAATATAGTCTGACATATTTTTAATTCTATTTCTTATTGTATCGTCGGAGTGGGGAATTTTCATAATTTCTTTTTTTGCAACCTCACCAAACATAATTTTTACCATTTCTGCACATGCTGGTAATACCAAAGATTCAGCAATAGTATGCGGTTTCAACCTTATAGCTATTAATTCAGTCATTTTATAACAAGCTAATTGTGCTTTGACAGAAATTTTAACAATTTTTTTAAAACTTCTTACATGCTTTTCTTGCATGTTCAACAATCTTTGAAAATATGCTTTGCTTTTAGAACTAAGATTGGCATGTTTCGTTGAAAAATGGCGTTCTAGTTTAGCCGGGACCATTGCCGAATTTGCTAAATTTTCACCACAAACATACAATTTGGCATGGGAAAATCCTCATCACCTTTCCATGTAAAGCCATAACTCAAATATTCTTCCGAATACTGGCGATTAACTTTTTTGGTTGGTTGGGAAATGGGAAGCTGTCCCTCCACAGAGGTACTGGTACCTGCTCCATAGTTTATATCTTGTGCATCGTCAGAACTACGTTTTCTTTTAATAAGGAATTTGTCCATTGCTGCAATGCGAAACAAATCATATTCAAGCAAAACAAATGAGCAATCTTAAGCTTGGAGTTCGCACAACTACCGAAGACCGGGACCAGCAGTGTTGCCAGGTACACCAGAAAACAGGTAACCGGGTAACCGCGACAATAAATACAAGCATAGCATACGCCGACGAGATTGTCAAGAGAATTTTTCAGAGAGATTAACGTATATTTTTCGCGAAACACTTGCAACACATTCGCGGAACACCTGTGTTCCGCGGAACACCGGTTAAGAATCACTGCGATAGACGCAGTCCGTTTAGCAGCCTGTGTCGCATCAATTCTCCCTTGAGAAGTAGTTGGAGTTTCTGTGGTATTATGGCTCTGCTAGTTTCAGAATCGATTTCAGCACTTTCTTTGAGGCCTAGGTAAGTATTGCTGAGATACTTCGGTGTTTGCCGATGTTTTCTGTAAGAATACAGACCGCTTATCTGTTGATGATGCAATTTTCTTTAATCGAAAAAATTTACTTTCCACTCAACTAACATTTTTACAAAAATTAGCTACATTTGCTAGAATTAACAATGTAAAATTTTGTAAAAATTTAGCAATTCTTAGCATAAAGCTCGTTTTCGATGCCAAGTCCTCAAATATATTGTTCCAACGGATTTTTAAAAAAGCATACGTCTCGATAATTTGACAATTACTAATTAGACAATAAAATTTACTTACCACTACGATGCAACCGAAACAAATGGATTAATAAAAATGATAAAGTACTGAATGCTACAAGGACTGTTAAAGGATACATGGACCTGATTTTTAAAACAGTCCCTACTAACAATATTACTGTCCATATTAATCTCACTACGTGGGCCTGAACTTGAAGTCTGATATTTAACGACAATTTCTGAAAATGTTTACATTATTAGTTGAAAGTTAGAAATCATTTCTTATATTAATTATTGTAACTATTGCGCTCAAATAACAAATATATCATTATGCATTTCCTCTTCAATCCTGTTTAAAAAATAACACTTACCTCATGGTTTACGAATGATAAAATGTGGCCAGTAATAGCAACCGTTGGAACGGCAAATAAACCTATAGTCAACACTGGAGTACCATACCAACTCATTGAGTAATTCACACAGTCTAATAAAAACGTTAATAGTGCTACAAACAAAAACGATAATATCCATCCTCCAATAATGCTACCTACTACGATAGCTAAATATTTCATTGATCTGAAAATACCTAAAAAAATAGGTATATTTAGTTACAACATAATACTCTCTTGAAGTATATGGGTTTAAAATGAGAAAAGGCAAACAAATATTCGATTTCACGCAAACAAATCCTATGTATCTCTTGATACGTATTTCGACCTAATAGGTCTCGTCAGAAGATCTATTCATAGGGTTCTCAACGTGAAAAATCAATATTTTCTGCCTTTTAAGAAGCAACAATAACATGGCTTCAATACGGACGCAATAGCGACATCTAATTACAAAAATCGTAAAATAGTGTCGAAACACAATTCAGATTTCTGCTTTATAATCTGAGCCTTCTAAAAATTGCAAGGCAAACAGACGTTGATAAAAGATGTTAAAAGAGACACGGGGAATCTAAAATTTGCATTCCACGACATGTGTTTTACAACTAAGCAGAAATCCTTAGCGAATTGTGCTTCTAGTACTCACACAGAGTAAATCCGATAAAATGAGAAAAGGCAGCAAATATTCGATTTCACGCAAACAAATCCTATGTATCTCTTGATACGTATTTCGACCTAATAGGTCTCGTCAGAAGAGCTATTCATAGCTTCTATGAATACCTATGAATAGCTCTTCTGACGAGACCTATTAGGTCGAAATACGTATCAAGAGATACATAGGATTTGTTTGCGTGAAATCGAATATTTGCTGCCTTTTCTCATTTTATTCGGATTTACTCTGTGTGAGTACTAGAAGCACAATTCGCTAAGGATTTCTGCTTAGTTGTAAAACACATGTCGTGGAATGCAAATTTTAGATTCCCCGTGTCTCTTTTAACATCTTTTATCAACGTCTGTTTGCCTTGCAATTTTTAGAAGGCTCAGATTATAAAGCAGAAATCTGAATTGTGTTTCGAAACTATTTTACGATTTTTGTAATTAGATGTCGCTATTGCGTCCGTATTGAAGCCATGTTATTGTTGCTTCTTAAAAGGCAGAAAATATTGATTTTTCACATTGAGAACCCTATGAATAGCTCTTCTGACGAGACCTATTAGGTCGAAATACGTATCAAGAGATACATAGGATTTGTTTGCGTGAAATCGAATATTTGCTGCCTTTTCTCATTTTATTCGGATTTACTCTGTGTGAGTACTAGAAGCACAATTCTCTAAGGATTTCTGCTTAGTTGTAAAAGACATGTCGTGGAATGCAAATTTTAGATTCCCCATGTCTCTTTTAACATCTTTTATCAACGTCTGTTTGCCTTGCAATTTTTAGAAGGCTCAGATCATAAAGCAGAAATCTGAATTGTGTTTCGAAACTATTTTACGATTTTTATATGGGTTTAATTTCAATAAACAATTAATTACAGTTGGGCTAATAATTAATAATAATAAATAAGCATACTCCAGATTAAACGAAAATATGCACTTTCTTTTCTAAAAGTGAATGGGATCTATTTATAAAGACTTAATTGTGTAAGTTGTTGTTTTAGATCAGGCTAATGCTAGATAATGAAAATGTTTTTTTTACATAAAAAAGTCTAATATCATAAATATCATATAGAACTCACCTAGCTTAAAATCGAATACACTCCATATGAATACGAAGATTGATAAAAACACAATGGCACTATTAATTATCGTAGCGGCGGTCACTGAATACACCATCATAAACAATCCAAATACGTCGTAGTATACCACCTTTTCACCAGTTTGCAAGTTATGAAAGAGTTCTGGTGCATTGGCAAGGACTTTAACTAGATGAAGAGTATTATCACCCACTTGTTGATAGGATCCAGCGGGTATGTTTTTGAAATCATCGTACTTTGTGTGATATCGATATCCGTGTTTGTAGAAAGCCATATCCATACCTAATAATAAAGACAAAAATTGTTAATTTGTTCTTTAAAATATATTTCTATAAACAATCATTTTTGTAAAAAAGTTTACTCATGCGATATTTGTAGCATTTTCTTTTCACTCGTATATCATAAAACACCGAAAAAGATTCTTAATATTTATGCGTCTCTAAGATTGGTAATTTTGTCATCGGAAATTCGTTAGTGTAGCAGTCAAGAGAACAAATTTGGGTCTGAACGAGGGAACATGGTTGTCGGTTAGTTTCAAAAACCGGCAAAATTTGGCTTAATTCGATGAGTTTTGGTTAAAAGAAGGTGATTTAAGGCTTATCCTCGAAAATTGTAACGGTAAAATTCAGAGAGATATCTATTTCAAAAATATCTTTCTTTACAAAAACAAAATCCATTCACGAAGAATATTCTAAACGTCATCTTGTACTAGACGTTAGCTTTATACCTACCTTATACAACCCCCTATTGTGTACTGGTAGACAGGGTTCTCGTGAAATAAAGTTGTCACCGCGCATATATAAATTTGAAAGTAGGGGTTGAGCCACTTCAAGCAAAGGCATTCGTGCGCCGGACGTTCTACGGGTAGCTGTTCGATATTTTTACAGTGTTGCATTGTTTCTTTTTATTTTAGTTGTACTTGTTCTATACAAAAGTTCTTTTCAGAACTCTGCTAAAATTAAAAATTTTAAAGGTAAGAAGATAATTTTTTAATTTATATTATTTATTAATATGTATAATAAAAATCAAATATATTTTTTTTGCTGCATATAAATTGTACATTGTGAGATACAATTGTAGCGTTTTCTCTACTCTGCTATTCATTTCTCCTTTTAGAGTTCTTTTATTCCTTTTTGTGCATAATTTTCTTAATCATTTCTTTTATCCTTAATAATTTTGTCCTTATATATTCTAAATACTGTTGGGCTAAGTGCTCCTCCCTGTCTTAACCTCGATGTATTGTAAACGTATGTGATATTGAATTATTACTAATTACGACATTGTTGTTCTCATTGTATATTCTTAGTAGCTTGTTGTTCATTCCTTTTTCTCTTGGTATTTTCCGTAGTTTCTGTCTTGGTACGTTATTGAAGGCTTTTTCTCTTTTGTCGCTTTTTGTGTTATCTGTTTTAAATTAAATATATATGATCCTGTATATTTCTACAACTTCTAAATCCACTTTGTCCTTCGTCTGTGTGTGTTCTAACATTATTCTTAATAGTTTGTTTATTATTTTTTCGAAGAGTTTCATACATGTACATATCAACGTCAATCCTCGGTAGCTATTACATTCTCTCCTATCTTCTTTTTGGTATATGGGTATTATTGGTGACACTTTCCAATCTTCCGGGATATTTTCATTTTTCCGTGTTATTCATTCTTTTTAGTAATACTTGTTCTCATCCATTTAAATCTTATTTCAGACTTCATACTCACGTCTTTATGGTCTTCTATTCAGTAATTTCTGTGTATCTCAATATTATTGTCTCTTCTATGCGTCTTGTTTAATTGTTAATATTCTTCAAGTTTTGTTTCGATCTTTCATTTGCGAATATCAATGATTTTGTCATCTAATATTGGCAATATCAATAAAGTCATATACTTTAAAATGTTGATATAATATATGGCTGAATTTTTAATATGAATGAGTCAGATAAGTTAAATTATTAGAAGAATTTTTTTACCAAGCAACAAAAACAATGGAAGTCGTCAAATAAATTTAATTTCAAACTTAAATTGTGGCTTACTGCCAAATAAAATAGTAAATTGCATAATCTACCACAAGCAAATAGCTTCCGAACAATATCATTTTGTTAGGTAGTACGATACTAAAAATTCCCAATATTACTGTGATCATCCACATCTTGACAACATTGCAAACATTTTAAGATCTAGCCAGTGATTATTCAACGTGAATTCACGCGTAAATGTTCGGGTATGTGCATCCTTTTTTGATTTTAAACTTTCTCACTCTGCGCAGTGCAAGCTCCGCCCATTTCACGGCATCCCTGTCGGCCTGTAAGTCTTGGGTCTATACAATAAACGAGTGGGCGGCCTACTATTCAGTGCGGTTTTGAAATAATGTTGAATAAAAACATTCATGAAATTAAAATGAAAGAATTTACGTCTATTAGTAGAAGTGCGATTTATAAAATTAGTACTTGAAGCATAAATCGCGGGAGGAATATGTGCATCAGTTTTCAAATATTTATTATTTACTATATAATTTCTAAATTGAACCATTTTCACTTCTTTAGTTAACAATGTATCTGTTTTGACAACTAAATAGGTAATTAGACAAAATAATTATTAATTTCAAAACAGGAGTTTAAAGAATTAGAAAGAGGTAGCCCGGGCCCAGTTAAATGGTCAAGCTTATTCCAGTGGAAGCAATAAGGAGGATTATTTTTCGTTTTGGCACAGCTGACATGCTCTCTCTAGCACTACAACCCATGAAACTGTGGTAAAAAGCATGCTTTATTTATACGGTTGTGAAACACGACGATTAACAGAGACAGATTAATATCGAAGAAAGATATCTCGTCGAACTTAATGCAATAAAGTATGAGAATAGAAGGTACAGTCATGGATGGCATACAACGAAAGCAGCTCAAATGGGTACAGGTCCAATAAATGAAAGACAGTAGACTCCTAAAACAAGTATCTGTATGAACACCTACCGTAATCCAGAAGAGAGGATTACCTTAGAAAACACGGATGGAAGGAATAAGAAACTTAATGAGCTCGAAAGAACTTAAAGAACAATGGAACAACCGACTTGAATGAAAAATGAACGTCGGAAGACATTTTATTTTAGGTACATTTTTTGGACTAAAAATAAATTTGAAGAAAACTAAGTTCATGTATTTACAAAAGCACAAAGCGTCAAAGTTAAGCTAGTACTAGATAATACAGAAATTGAACAAATATCTTTGTACAAATACATTGGAGCATGGATCACAGAAGATACTGATTAGACAAAAGAAATAAGATGCCGCATTGGAATTGCACGGTCAACTTTTAATAGAATGAGAAAACTTTTTGTAATCGAGATACCAATATACCGTTTCGGATAAGAATGCTTTGATGTTATATTTTTTTTACCCTTATATATGGGATTCAAGCTTGGTCACTTAAAAAATCCAACATTAAAAACCTAGAAGCATTCGAAATGTGGTGCTACCGACGTGTTTTGAAAATATTATGGATAGATCGCAAAACAACCCGAACAAGTTCTCAAACAATGTACTGGCTGATTGACCAAAATTCTACGCTGTTTCTACATAATAAATTATTATTATATAAGCAAATACTGAAACAATAGTATTATTATAAAAACAGTATAAACATTTAGAAGGAAAATTTTACAAATCAACAGAAAATATTTCTATTCATATAAAAATTTAATCAAATTATAGGTACTTATTATAGGTACTGCTTATTTATATAAAATTTCCTCAATCGGAACATAAACGTCTTCGTGAACTACCCATTTTAAAAACAATTAACACACTGGTTTGTCAAAAGTCGAAATAAACCCTAATAATGTTATTCAACATTATTTATGACCCACCTTCGAGAGGGTATTATACTTCTTACCTAACCAACCTAACCGTGTCGGCGAGAATCCAGAAACTATCGACAAGGACAGCCTGTACTGGCCGAGAGAGAAAGTTACATTTAGCAAAATTTGAGATTTTAAAAAAGTGTATACCAAATAGCTGCTTTGTGTTACACTTTATGTTAAAAATAAAAACAGATTCGGAAAGTGGGTCAAATTCTGTAGTGCCCTGTTTCAAAAAAAAATTTTTTACGTTTATTTTAACCAAAAATATTTGAAAAAAAAAATATTGTTTAAACAATTTATTAATTTACAACCAAATAGTGCACTAGAACTTTTTAAGACCTTTCATATAAAAAAGAATCGTCTCAATATCTGCCATAGCTTTTGCGTTATTTGATATAAACTTTTACATTGGAACTTAGGTATGCCCAGAAACGCAAGGAACGGCCTTAATACTTAAAATGCTATGTGGCAGTCTTTGTATAGTGAGTTAGTTAATCACCGGTTTGTTGGATGCTGTATTCCGTGTCAAGGGATCTGATAAAAGCAGTTCTGAGGGCTAAGTGGACCTACGTGGTTTTGAGTGAAAAATAAGCAGCCGAGTTTTGAAGAATATATAGTTATAATCTTCAGGATAACTTGAAGCCCAGTTTTGTGTTTGACCTCTCCCAAGATTTGTCCAGCTTCCATTTTGTGTTTCCCATGGGTTGGATTTGATCGTTTGAAGTTTGTGTAGGAGAATGTTTTTTATTCAAATCTAAGAAGAGAAAAACCTTTCTTTCTTTCCAAGTACCAAAAGAATTCTTTTAAACGGCGTCCTATTTTAAATAGTTAGGAATCTTCTTGTGTAGTGTTACCCAGAACATCTTTGTAAGTATTTTTTTGATTATTTTTTGTAGTTATTCCTTCCAATCCTTTCCAAATAAAGGAATCCTTATTCACGACTCAGCTCTCCAACTAAAACCCGAGTAGCCGTTCGCAAGCGTTCAATTTATTTGCTTACCCTATCCCCAAGCCCAGTAATTGTTCAGTCCCCCCTTTCATCCCCCTATAAGCAAATTATAAATTGTAAAATGTTTATGAAAATTGCATAAAGTCATCTATAGGAATAAAATTTGGTTTCATTAAAAAATTCGATGAAGACCAATTGATTTACTCCATCTAGAGACTACGTCTATTCCAAAAATCTAGAAAAAAATCAGAAGTACACCATTAAAAATACTATAATCTTTACCAGGATAGGAATACAGTGCTTGTTTTAATAAAGTATAGTAGACACACAGTAGGGTAGATGCCACACAACGAAAATCCCAACAATGATTTGTGCATGTGTACCTTTTGCAGTCCGCTATAGCCAGTTTATTTTCCTACATGTATATTTTGGTTTTCACAGGCAACGGGCAAAAACTCCTTTTGTATATAAGGGAAAGTGAATCAA